ACCATGCCATTTACATGGTAGCAAACCACCCACATTCCCTCCGTATTCCACTGATGAGAGGTAGGTTCAACTCGGGCAGTTTCTTTCCATGAGCCACTGCCCTGTGGAAGAAACTCTGAAGATGATGTTTTCCCGATCACTACAATCTTAACCTGTTCAAGTCCTTATCTTCCCTTCCTATCCATATAAACTAGCCCTTAATGTAACCCTCTACTTCAAGTGACCCCTGGGACTTGTACAGGTTAAACATTACTTTAGAAAAAACAAATTCCCTCTGTAATCCAGTTGTAAGGAAGTTTTTTCTCAAGAACCACTGTTTTGTGGAACAGACTCCCAAGAGGATGTTTTCTCCGATCATTACAATCTTAACCTGTTCAAGTCTAAAGTTAACCATTATCTTCCCCTCCTATACATATAAACTAACCTTTAATGTAACCCTCTACCTTGAGTGGCTGCCTAGCCTTTTACAGGATGAACCTTACTGTTAAAAATAATATTACACAAATTTTATTTTGATTTTCTTTGATGTCAACAAGTGCCTCTGTTCCATGGTTTGTAGATATTTAGAAGATATGAGTTCCTAACTTACAAATGTTTAAATTACAAACTTTCAGACCTGCCTTTAATTACCACCCCTGAGCAATAGCTGGCCACTTGTATTTGAGGAGACCCGTCTACAAGGTTGGCTAGCCAATCCCTATTGCAGACGCTTGCTCAGGCACATTTGTGTTTGCTCAACACCTACAGAGCCCACCTGTGGTTTATACTGCAATTATGGTGAGCAGACCTTACAGTTTCTGGGAGTGAGCATGTTAATTAGCGTGATCAACAAAATTCATATTTTGATTTACAGTCAGATGAATATAATTGGGATCATCCTTCCAATATGTATATCCTTTCCAATAATCTGACATAATCATAGTCTCAAGTAAAATACAGCTTCAAATTGTGTCTAATAATATGGAGGCTGTTTTATACACCAGCAACTTCATGGCAAGTTAAACAAATTTTTATTTAAAATTTATAATTTGAAAAGAATGCCAAAAATTTAATAAAAAAAAGAACAAACTTTGATTTAAAATTTATAATTTCTTGGGGTGAATTAATATTTGCAGTAAGTAACTTTACATTATTTGGAGTGAATTAACAGAAGAAGATCTGTATCATTTTTTTTCAGGGTGCAATACTTGTGTGTGTGTATGTGTGTGTGTGCCCATATAAATATATAAATTATGTGAGTTGTTGATTACTGATTTATAAATTGTATCAGCCTCCATGTTTGAATCTCTTCTAAAACTTTTATTAATATGAGCATTAAATCTTAAAATCTAAGACAAAACCTATTTAATGCCAAAACACGTAACACACCTAAAATAGATCCCCTGCAAACAATATATCTATTAAACATATGTTTACTCTGAAAGTATAAAGTTATGTAAAAAATATCTTTAGTTGAAGGCATAAAATTGCATTCAAAATATATGTAGTTGAGGCTATAAAACTGCATAAAAAAAAATTTAGAGTTTGGCATTAAATAATCTATAGAGGTTGATATGCTGCCAAACAAAAATAACTAAGCCATTCAGGCAAAACCTGTAGAATACCATTTAATTATTTACCTGGATTTACTTAAAATACAAGCTAAATCAACATGATAACTAAAAATTGCTTTGTAGATTTTATCATAAAATAAGTTTATAAAATAGCTTTTTCTCGAATGGATAAAGTCCAAATATTTTTTAAAAGAAATCTTTTATATGACTGTTTTTTGCCATTACCAAAATGGTTCCATACAACTTTTTAGCACCTAATGACTGACCAGACGTAGTTTTTTTTTAACAATGGTAACATTTGAAAATTGGATGAAAGATGCTTTTATGCAAAAAAAAAGACATTCAAATATTTACCCAAAAAGCTGTTCAAGGTCCTTTTTGAGATGAGACTACATTTCTGCTTAAAAGTGTCTTTTCTAAAATAGAATAAAAAAGAAATCATGAGCTTTTATTGATGTTCAGCATTTGTAAAGTCTGAAAATAATACAAAGAATAATCTAAGAATCATTTGAGAAAACTTTTGTTTGCACTTTGTCAAAACCGTTTTTTGCTTTCAAGCAGTTTCCACTTTTTCTTTGAGAATATATTAAAATTCAAATACCAAACAAGCATTTTATGGCTAATAGGATGTGTAATCTGTAAAGGGACGATATTTAAAAGTTTGTAGCCAGGATAATGATCTTAGAATAATTTTAAAGAAAACTTCCATAATATTTCAAAGAATGTTACACAAACTGCGATCAGAAAGAGTATTATCTGGAACTAATGCCTGAATATTAATCAAAAGCTTTCTTTGTAACCTCGTATTATTAGTCATTCATTGACTTCAGCAACTTTTTTTTTTTGCAAAATTTGAACTTTGTAAAATTAACCTAAATAAATGTTTGTGATATTTAAATATGAATGTCACATTTTGCATCAGAACAATAAGAACTCCTGGGAAAAAAGATTCTGCATAAAGTTGGTAACTTATTATATTTGGATATTGACCAATGTGTTTTCAAAGTTAATATCATAATATTCTAACTTATAAAAAGGTAAAGCATTAAAGAACCATAACTTCTCACCATCCTTTTTATTATGAAAGCAAATTTGAAAAAAAGTATTTTTTGTTGACTTTTTAATAAATCTATTATATCAGACTGTCTGTTTATTTGCCTGTTTTCTTTAGGAAAATTCAGTAGGTGTGGTCAGTTTGAACTTAATTTATAATACCAATGATCTTTGTCTTGAAAAGCTAACAATGGATTCTACTTCCAGATACAATGATGCATTCTATTCTAGTTAAACTCAAATATGATTTCTTTTCTCAGATATAATTCTTCATTTAATCAAATAGCCATATTTCACCTGATAATATCCAACCATCTCTATCTATCTCTCTATCTATATCTCTAAACATAAAAGGTGATTACACATTACCAGTTTTGTTTTGGAAGTATTGAATGATACAAGCTAATCTTTCTCTCATTGAACTGTGAGAGATCAATCAGAGAAAGGATCAGCTGCTAGACACTAGTCACCGAGATCTTTCGACATACACCCATACACCTCAGTATCATCTGTATCTATATTTACTAAAGATTTGAGAAGGTTTCACAGAGCTTGACTACACCAGAAAAGATATTATTAAATATTTTATATGCATTTTAAAAGGCTGTCACCTATTGTTAAAGATATTTCATTTAATACAGTTTATTTCTTTTTGTTTTCTTTACAGTGTTAGTATAATATTTTCGTATTATTTAGTATTTTTTTTTCTTATATTAATACTTATATTTTTTTTGTTTGTGATGACTGATGCACTGATTAAGTGTGCTATGTTTCAACAAGTGACAAGTTAGTCTAAGAGAGAATATGGTGATTGTGTGACCTATCTTATAATTCAAAGTTGGTTTTTAATTATTGGTATTAGAAATTCAGTCTCTCAAAAGACATAAGAATTCATAAGCAACATTGTTTTTACATAGTAGAGATTTTTATAGTCCTGAGTTATTGGTAATTATATTACTTGGTTAGATGTTTTAAATCTTTTATAGTAAATTACAAATCTAACGTGTTTCTTGAAATCATTAATTGAAATGTATTGGCAAATTATATATTTAATTGCTTTTTCCTCTCATTTATAATTAGTTACAGTAAAATAAGTTTGCTTTTATTTTCATTTACATCAGGATAGCTGCGTTATTTTTTCTAAAATTCTTTAAAGCTGAATTTATTATCAACATCATGGTTTTAGGAACAATTGTTGTATTATGTTGCTGAATTCTTTATAAAATAATTCAATAAGATGTTTACATACATATATATATATATATAGAGAGAGAGAGAGAAAGAGAGAGACAGAGACAGAGAGAGAGAGAGAGAGAGAGAGAGTCAAAGTGTTATAATTTTGTAAAAACCCAAGTAATCAATTTGGATGGGATTATTTCCATTTATAGAAAATTCAATAAACTGTTTCTTCATTATAAAATGTCTGAATTGCTTTCAGAGAAAATAATTGAAAACTCACTGGATAACACAATATCATTTCTGGAGAGTTATAAGAATTCTCCAGAAGGCAGGATTAATTAAAGCCTGAATATGTAAGTGAACAGAAAAAGTGAGTCATATTGTTTCTGTGAAAAGAAATTAAGATGTGAGAATTGGCAAAGAGGAATAGTTAATATAGTCTAAAAGTTTAAAAATTGACCAGAAACCATTTTTTTTTCTTCTTTAGCTGAATTCAAGTTTTGCTATATTTGGTCATTATCCAAAAGTTCCCTTCATGAACTTAATGGCAATGTTCCAATGTCAACCAGAGTGAAGCTTTTGCAAATTGGCAACTGACAAAAATTATCAATATGATGTAATTTCCTTTATTCTATACAAAATAAAATGTTGAGTTGCAGACGAAATTATAAACTTCATTTGCCATGTTATCATGGGTGGCAGCCCTGAGTTATCAGCCCAGAAAATAGTAAGTTAAAAAGGAAAAATAAATATAAAAACAGTAAAATCTCATAAAAGCTGATGGCTAGAGCATGCCAAGTTCTCTGCACTAATCTCACACCAGTTATGCAAGAATAAGTTGTATATTAAAGCTGATTTATGGATGAACTGAAGAAGTTCAGACAACCACACCCTTAGAGAAATAGGATTCTTATGCTAGAGAAATTTTAATCCATTAGTGATTTCATTTACGGAAAATTCTTCACTGTGTTCTTGGTGAATTGGACAATAGAAAGCATGCAGACATTTGCAAAAAGTTGTCAGGAAGGGTAATGAGATTCAAGTCTTGGTTGGTTCTTTACAATAGGAAATAATTCACTGAATTTTTAAAGTTATAATCCTTTTGGAGAAAAGGCACTCAATATCTATATATCTTTAACAAGAGTGAAATCATTTTATAATTTCTTATGCAAAGTAAAAGAGAGAAAAAAGTGAAAGCAACAAATGTTTCCAATCATGAATATACATAGAGAAAGAGATGCAGAAATTATCTATCTATCTATCTATCTATCTATCTATCTATCTATCTATCTATCTATACATCTGTGTGTATGTGTGTGTATGTGTGTGCATACATATATCCATTCACTATTCTGCTATAATATGCATTTGCATACTCAAGAACTAATTGTAGAAGCAAGATTGCAAAGAAAAGCTTAAAGGGTTGAGGCATGAATTAATGTTCAAAATTTATTTAATGACCCATGAATAAAAAATTCAAATTTCACTTTCCAGGATAAGATATATGTTCCAACCTGACTCTTAGCTCATCTATTATTAATTGTATATTACTTTCTGTCTGGTTACATCACTCTCAGTTTCTTCACCTCTGTCTGCTTGAATTTCTTTATCTCTCTTATTTTATCTCTCTGTCCAAATCTGTTTTTCTTGATCTGTTCAGAAATTTAACTAAAACTCTGCATATTTATTTCAACCAACTTATACTTCATATCTGTCCTTGACACATTGTATCTACCATTTTGTCTTTCTCAGTTCATATCTATTAAAATATATTTGTCAATTTATATACTCTTCTTTGCCAGTTCATGCTTACTTTTGTCAGTTCATTTCTATTCTTCTATCTGTTCACATATTTCCCAGACACTTTCAATCTATCATTTTGTCTTTCTTCATTCGTACCTATTGCAATGTTTTTGTCATTTCTTTTTATATTTTCTCTGTCAGTTCATAATTGTTTTTGACCACTGTCAGTTCATAATTGTTTTTTTTACCTCTGTCAATTCATGTTTGTTTTTTATCTCTGCAAGTTCATTTATATTTTTCTGTCAGTTTGTTTCCTTTCTTCCATCTCTGTCAATTTGTTTCCTTTCTTCCATCTCTGTCGGTTTCTTTCCTTTCTTCCATCTCTGTCGGTTTGTTTCCTTTCTTCCATCACAGTCAGTTTGTTTCCTTTCTTCCATCTCTGTCGGTTTGTTTCCTTTCTTCCATCTCTGTCAGTTTGTTTTCTTTCTTCCATCTCTGTTGGTTTGTTTCTTTTCTTCCATCTCTGTCAGTTTGTTTCCTTTCTTCCATCTCTGTCAGTTTGTTTTCTTTCTTCCATCTCTGTCGGTTTCTTTCCTTTCTTCCATCTCTGTCGGTTTGTTTCCTTTCTTCCATCTCTGTCAGTTTGTTTCCTTTCTTCATTCTCTGTCAGTTTGTTTCCTTTCTTCCATCTCTGTCAGTTTGTTTCCTTTCTTCCATCTCTGTCGGTTTGTTTCCTTTCTTCCATCTCTGTCAGTTTGTTTCCTTTCTTCCATCTCAGTCAGTTTGTTTCCTTTCTTCCATCTCTGTCGGTTTGTTTGCTTTCTTCCATTTCTGTCAGTTTGTTTCCTCTCTTCCATCTCTGTCGGTTTCTTTCCTTTCTTCCATCTCTGTCAGTCTGTTTCCTTTCTTCCATCTCTGTCGGTTTGTTTCTTTTCTTCCATCTCTGTCAGTTTGTTTCCTTTCTTCCATCTCTGTCAGTCTGTTTCCTTTCTTCCATCTCTGTCAGTTTGTTTCCTTTCTTCCATCTCTGTTGGTTTGTTTCCTTTCTTCCATCTCTGTTGGTTTGTTTCCTTTCTTCCATCTCTGTCGGTTTGTTTTCTTTCTTCCATCTCTGTCGGTTTCTTTCCTTTCTTCCATCTCTGTCAGTCTGTTTCCTTTCTTCCATCTCTGTCAGTCTGTTTCCTTTCTTCCATCTCTGTCAGTTTGTTTCCTTTCTTCCATCTCTGTCAGTCTGTTTCCTTTCTTCCATCTCTGTCAGTTTGTTTCCTTTCTTCCATCTCTGTCAGTTTGTTTTCTTTCTTCCATCTCTGTCGGTTTCTTTCCTTTCTTCCATCTCTGTCAGTCTGTTTCCTTTCTTCCATCTCTGTCAGTCTGTTTTCTTTCTTCCATCTCTGTTGGTTTGTTTCCTTTCTTCCATCTCTGTCGGTTTGTTTCCTTTCTTCCATCTCTGTCGGTTTGTTTTCTTTCTTCCATCTCTGTCAGTTTGTTTCCTTTCTTCCATCTCTGTTGGTTTGTTTCCTTTCTTCCATCTCTGTCGGTTTGTTTCCTTTCTTCCATCTCTGTCGGTTTGTTTTCTTTCTTCCATCTCTGTCAGTTTGTTTCCTTTCTTCCATCTCTGTTGGTTTGTTTCCTTTCTTCCATCTCTATCAGTTTGTTTTCTTTCTTCCATCTCTGTCGGTTTGTTTCCTTTCTTCCATCTCTGTCAGTTTGTTTCCTTTCTTCCATCTCTGTCAGTCTGTTTCCTTTCTTCCATCTCTGTCAGTTTGTTTCCTTTCTTCCATCTCTGTTGGTTTGTTTCCTTTCTTCCATCTCTGTCAGTTTGTTTCCTTTCTTCCATTTCTGTCAGTTTGTTTCCTTTCTTCCATCTCTGTCGGTTTGTTTCCTTTCTTCCATCTCTGTCGGTTTGTTTCCTTTCTTCCATCTCTGTCAGTTTGTTTCATTTCTTCCATCTCTGTCAGTTTGTTTCATTTCTTCCATTTCTGTCAGTTTGTTTCCTTTCTTCCATCTCTGTCAGTTTGTTTCCTTTCTTCCATCTCTGTCAGTTTGTTTCCTTTCTTCCATCTCTGTCGGTTTGTTTCCTTTCTTCCATTCCATTTCTGTCGGTTTGTTTTCTTTCTTCCATCTCTGTCACTTTGTTTCCTTTCTTCCATCTGTGTCAGTTTGTTTCCTTTCTTCCATTTCTGTCAGTTTGTTTCCTTTCTTCCATCTCTGTCGGTTTGTTTCCTTTCTTCCATCTCTGTCAGTTTGTTTCCTTTCTTCCATCTCTGTCGGTTTGTTTGCTTTCTTCCATCTCAGTCGGTATGTTTCCTTTCTTCCATCTCTGACGGTTTGTTTCCTTTCTTCCATCTCTGTCAGTCTGTTTTCTTTCTTCCATCTCTGTCGGTTTCTTTCCTTTCTTCCATCTCTGTCGGTTTGTTTCCTTTCTTCCATTTCTGTCAGTTTGTTTCCTTTCTTCCATCTCTGTCAGTCTGTTTCCTTTCTTCCATCTCTGTCAGTTTGTTTCCTTTCTTCCATCTCTGTCAGTTTGTTTCCTTTCTTCCATCTCTGTTGATTTGTTTCCTTTCTTCCATCTCTGTCAGTTTGTTTCCTTTCTTCCATCTCTGTCAGTTTGTTTCCTTTCTTCCATCTCTGTCGGTTTCTTTCCTTTCTTCCATCTCTGTCGGTTTCTTTCCTTTCTTCAATTTCTGTCAGTTTGTTTCCTTTCTTCAATCTCTGTCAGTTTGTTTCCTTTCTTCCATCTCTGTCAGTTTGTTTCCTTTCTTCCATCTCTGTCGGTTTCTTTCCTTTCTTCCATCTCTGTCAGTTTGTTTCCTTTCTTCCATCTCTGTCAGTTTGTTTCCTTTCTTCCATCTCTGTCGGTTTGTTTCCTTTCTTCCATCTCTGTCGGTTTGTTTCCTTTCTTCCATCTCTGATGGTTTGTTTCCTTTCTTCCATCTCTGTCAGTTTGTTTCCTTTCTTCCATCTCTGACGGTTTGTTTCCTTTCTTCCATCTCTGTCAGTTTGTTTCCTTTCTTCCATCTCTGTCAGTCTGTTTCCTTTCTTCCATTTCTGTCAGTTTGTTTCCTTTCTTCCATCTCTGTCGGTTTGTTTCCTTTCTTCCATCTCTGTTGGTTTGTTTCCTTTCTTCCATTCCATTTCTGTCGGTTTGTTTTCTTTCTTCCATCTCTGTCACTTTGTTTCCTTTCTTCCATCTCTGTCAGTTTGTTTCTTTTCTTCCATTTCTGTCAGTTTGTTTCCTTTCTTCCATCTCTGTCGGTTTGTTTCCTTTCTTCCATCTCTGTCAGTTTGTTTCCTTTCTTCCATCTCTGTCGGTTTGTTTGCTTTCTTCCATCTCAGTCAGTATGTTTCCTTTCTTCCATCTCTGACGGTTTGTTTCCTTTCTTCCATCTCTGTCAGTCTGTTTTCTTTCTTCCATCTCTGTCGGTTTGTTTCCTTTCTTCCATTTCTGTCAGTTTGTTTCCTTTCTTCCATCTCTGTCAGTCTGTTTCCTTTCTTCCATCTCTGTCAGTTTGTTTCCTTTCTTCCATCTCTGTCAGTTTGTTTCCTTTCTTCCATCTCTGTCGGTTTGTTTGCTTTCTTCCATCTCAGTCGGTATGTTTCCTTTCTTCCATCTCTGACGGTTTGTTTCCTTTCTTCCATCTCTGTCAGTCTGTTTTCTTTCTTCCATCTCTGTCGGTTTCTTTCCTTTCTTCCATCTCTGTCGGTTTGTTTCCTTTCTTCCATTTCTGTCAGTTTGTTTCCTTTCTTCCATCTCTGTCAGTCTGTTTCCTTTCTTCCATCTCTGTCAGTTTGTTTCCTTTCTTCCATCTCTGTCGGTTTCTTTCCTTTCTTCCATTTCTGTCAGTTTGTTTCCTTTCTTCCATCTCTGTCAGTTTGTTTCCTTTCTTCCATCTCTGTCAGTTTGTTTTCTTTCTTCCATCTCTGTCGGTTTCTTTCCTTTCTTCCATCTCTGTCGGTTTGTTTCCTTTCTTCCATCTCTGTCAGTTTGTTTTCTTTCTTCCATCTCTGTCAGTTTGTTTCCTTTCTTCTATCTCTGTCAGTTTGTTTCCTTTCTTCCATCTCTGTCGGTTTCTTTCCTTTCTTCCATTTCTGTCAGTTTGTTTCCTTTCTTCAATCTCTGTCAGTTTGTTTCCTTTCTTCCTTCTCTGTCAGTTTGTTTCCTTTCTTCCATCTCTGTCGGTTTCTTTCCTTTCTTCCATTTCTGTCAGTTTGTTTCCTTTCTTCAATCTCTGTCAGTTTGTTTCCTTTCTTCCTTCTCTGTCAGTTTGTTTCCTTTCTTCCATCTCTGTCGGTTTCTTTCCTTTCTTCCATCTCTGTCAGTTTGTTTCCTTTCTTCCATCTCTGTCGGTTTGTTTCCTTTCTTCCATCTCTGTCGGTTTGTTTCCTTTCTTCCATCTCTGTCGGTTTGTTTCCTTTCTTCCATCTCTGACGGTTTGTTTCCTTTCTTCCATCTCTGTTGGTTTGTTTCCTTTCTTCCATCTCTGTCAGTTTGTTTCTATCCTAAACATTTTATATCTATCATTTTGTCATTTTTAGTTCATTTCAAATCTGTTTTTTTACATCAATTCATATATTTTTTCTTTATCAATTCACTCCTATGTTTCTTTTACTTGATCTCTATTATTGTATCTCTTTCAGTTCATTCCTATCCTTCTGTCAGTTCATATCTCTTTGTCTCTCAGTTCATTTCTATTTGTCAATCACTGTCAGTTTACTTCTGTATTTATGGGTTTATATCTATTTTTTCTGTTTATTTTCATGCATTGATCTGGTATTATTTTAATTTATCTTCCAATTCACAACATTTTGACTTTGTTTCTAACTTTAAGTTTATATATTACACACACACACATACGCACATATATATATATATATATATATATATGTGAATATTTAATCAGAAACATCGCCATGAAACAATTTTTATATTTTTTATTGATTAAGGTTCACTTCATCATTCATCATTTGGCTATTTCCTTTTTACAAGAACAATTATAATTTTGAAGATTTGTCTGACGATATGAGAAGTAGAAAGTAAAATTCTTGTGCATCATATTTGAGAAAAAGTAGGTGTTGAAATGTTCTCCATTCAACACACCTTTCAAAATTTGACCAAATGACAAATACCTGAATTTTTTAATCCCTTCTTGGTTGGGCTGAAAATTTTTCAGCACCCCAGGTTTATATGTATTTTAGTTTAGAAGCACATATTTATATAAAATTATTACATTCCTAAATATGCATTGCAGTTTATACTTATATACAATTATATGTGTATGTGCACACACACACACACACACACACATGAGTATTCTATATAGATAACAGCTTAAAATTTTGGTTTTAATTTTGACCACAGTAACTGATTTATATCTACAACTCTTTTACATTACTTATAAGAATTCTCTAGCATATCAACATTTGCATGGATCATGTAGTGCTAAGAAACATCCTTTTTGATACTGAGTCGATGTCTTAAAGAGTGATTTTTAGCAAACAAGACATTCCTTTTGTAACCTTTCATGAACCTAGAGCGATTTCTCTTTTTGATAGGCCCCAGGGCATACAGGAATGGAAGTAATAAATTTGGTACATGGAAGCAATGAAATCCAAATTGAGAATTAAGTGTGTAGTATTTACTCTTGTACCCTTTTTTTCAATTATCACCACAGAATGAGAGAAGAAGAAAATCAAGAAAATTTTTGGTTTTGAGAGTAAGCTGTATTTTCCCAGGGTTTTGATTTGACATATAACATTTTGCAAGCTTTCCTGCTTGTTGGGCCCATCGGCAAGAGGAACCCCAATCTTGATATAATAAAAGATAAAAAAAAATATATGACAAAAAGAAAGAAAGCAGCTTTTTGATTTTATGAAGCATCTAATAAGATGGAAGCATCTGTGATGAGAATTTCATATTTTGGTAGAACCCTCTGGGAATAATCTTGCCAGTTTTGAATGAATTTTACCAGTGCTTATTCTAACAATGGACAAATCCACTGAATGAGAAATGTGTTTGCATCTTTTGTTAGTTTTTATTCTTTTTATTTTATCTATCATTTTATATATAATCCTGATTCAATTTTCTTTCAGGTTCTTTGCTGCTTTTTTATTTTCATTACTTTTTGCCTTTAATTTTTACTGATTTAAGTTTCTTTCATTTTTGTCTACTGCCTTTAATTTGCTTGCTTCCTCCTTATTTTCTCAAACTTCCTTATTTATTCTTCCTTTTTAAATTATTTTAATTTTTTTTGCTTTCTTTCTATTTATCTATCTACTTTCACAATATCTTTTTTTTTCTCCTTAGCTTTACTTTTTTTTAATCTGTTCTCCTCATTCTTTCTATACAAAGTCTTCTTTCCTCTTCTGTCTAATTACATCTCTTTCTTTAGTTCATTTTCTCTCTTTTTTCTTCATCCTTTAAGACTTTTGCCTTATTAAAGTAAAAAAAAAAATATTTAAATGGCAAGAAAGTCGGAAGCAAAACTTTAAAATGATGGAAAAAAAAACAATTTTAGAATATTAAATAAAAGAACTGAAGCAAGTGAATGAATTTAAATTGAACAAATGATGTGAGATGGAATGAAACGGATGAAATAAATGGGAAAAATAGAATTATTGAATAAATTGTTCAAATGGAATGAACTTGACAGCACGAATGAATAAGCAAATGGAATGGAAGGGAATGAATTAACAATTCGAATGAATGAACAAAATTGAATGAGATTGGCCAGTAGGCATATTAGAAAGATGGCCGCTCAAAATAGGAAGACATCTTTGATCTAGATGTAGAGAAGTAGTGTCCTCTTTTGTTTTGCTGCTTTTATGAATTTTAAAAAAATATTTAAGCAGTTTAATTTGGCTCTAAAAAATATCCAACCTCCTTATAGGCTGATAATCCTATAGGAACTTTTGAAGGAATACTGCTTGAGAAAAAAAAAGAAAAAAATTAATTAATCCCAAACTAAAACTAAACAAGAAGTGTCAGAGACAAGGGAAATGTTTTCAGGTACATTTTCAAACAGTTGCCAAAACTGACATATGATGTGGAAATACTTTAAGCTAATTAACTGTAAATTTCTACAAAGGAAAATATATCACTCTATGACAGTAATAGATATGTGAATAAATTAATTTATATAATATAATGATATGCACACACACACACACAGATATGTTATTGTTCAAATATAGTTAGAGGAAAAATATATATATAATGACATATGCATATACGAACATATATAAACACATACAAATATATTAATATGTAAATATATGCCAATATTTATCTATGTTTCTCTCTCTCTCTCTCTCTCTCTCTCTATATATATATATATATATATATATATATATATATATATATATATATATATATATAGTAGGTAAATGAATGACAAAATGGGAAAAATCCTGTAATGTGCTTTTGTCATTCAAAAGGACTTCTTCAAACTAAATAATGTTTTTTACTGATAGAATCATATATATATATATATATATATATATATAGCAGAATTTTACTTCATCTGTTCTTCCTCTCATTTTGTATATATATATATATATATACAAAATGAGAGGAAAAACAGAATAATAAATTATATATATATATATATATATATATATAATTATATATATATATATATATATATATATATATACAAAAATGAGAGGAAGAACAGATGAAGTAAAATTCTGCTGTTTGTACCATTTACTTTTTTTTTTAAAGTGCTCAATACAAAGTACAGCAATATATTAATATTATTTTATTTTAGATATTAGAACAAAAACATGTGAATGGTAAGTGACTGGCTCTTGTTTTAAAATTGCAGTTTCTTTTTCCATCTCTAAAGACTCTCTCTCTCAAGTATATTGGGTTGCTCAGTGTTTTGGGAACATTTCTATGAATTTATTAAAAGATTCATAAATCATGAAAGAAGAGATACAGAAATTGGCATGAATAATCTAGTGAATCTTTTCGGCACTTCTAACTAAGATCAATTAAATACTGCTTCTGAAATACTGACATGCCTAAAACAAATGATCTTTATTTATTTTGGACATTGTGCTATATGAAGCCATATATTTGGGGTGACATGATTATGGAGATTGTAACACTTCCATTCCTGGGTCATCTTTGGTTTATGAGACAGCACAGAGTCTTATTGGTAGGTGTATAGTCTTCCTTTGTTCATGATCTCAATCCGAGGCCTCAGAACCCTCTCCAACACAACCTTTTAGACAGCTGCATTGACCCTTAAACCCTGAGTAAAGAATTGAAAAAGTGAAATGTTTTAAAAGTGAAAAGGATAAAAGAAATGGTAAGCATTGTGAATAAAAATTGAAATAAAACTAAAATGAGAGAGTGGTGTTTGAGAAAGACAAACATATAGTAGTAAGACAGGGGGAAAAGTTGTACTGAAGAATGAAAGAAAAAGAAGCCAAGTATGAAAATGTTTGGGTGAGTAAAAAACAGGGTTACTCAGTTCTTTGAGGACATTTACATGAATTCAGTAAAAGCCACATAAGTCATCAAAAAAGAGCTTTATTTGACAGAAAAAAATTGGCATGAATAATCTTATGATTCTTCTTGACGAATCTGTCATTAGCATCAATGACTGCTTCACTACAGGGTCTGAAATGTTGATCTTCCCAAATCAGATGATATTTATCTATTTTTGGACATTTTGTGCTGGTTATGGTAGACTTCAGTGATTGTATAATGTTATTGGGCATTGACTGACTTCCCTCTTAACTACAGCTACATATATAGTAGTCTAATGGATTCAGGTGTCGAGAGCTAGGAGACTATATGTTTAGGATGAAATGATCATGGAGATTGTAACTCATCCATTCTTTATTCGACTTGGTTTCATGAGAGGGCACAGAATCTTGTTGGTAGGTGTATGGTTCTCCTTTGCTCATGCTCTCTATCCAAAGCTCGAGAACCCTCTCCAGCACCTCTTTATACTCAGTAGCATTGACCCCTAATTTCTGAGGAAAGAAGTAAGAAGGCATGACATCTCCCTCATTGCACACGTCTCCCAGAACCATCACATTTGCCAGAACCTTTGTTTACTTGACCATTGAAACATCCTTAGGGTTTCTGCATAATCATCTATTATTCCTTCAGTTGACCTTTTGGTCATGATCAAAGTTTTTTTTTCTCATCAGAGAAAAACCAAGACATTCCAGGCTCTTGATGTACTAGCATACCCAACAAGCACTTTGTGTGGATCAGATGGTTACCTTTTGTCATTGCAGACTTGTATTGGCCTCTCAGCATCACATATAAATTCTATTAAAGGACCTCATTCACAATCCTTCTGATAGAGTGCCTTGAAAATTTGAGCTCCTTACCAATGATGCTAATTGACTTTCTGGGGTTCTTATCAATAATTTTCTGAACCTTTTGCATGTGCTGAAGGTATAACGAACCTTAGTAAATTTTCTACATTTGGCAACTGCTGTAGAATCTCCAACAATGGTTTCCCACTCTTTGTGAACTTTGACAGCAAATGACCATGCAACTTTCAAGAAACAAGGAATCTTTAAATCACTTTTTAAGGCAATGATTACAGTATGTTTATTTTTTTAATTTGTTTAGTTAGCTTGATATTTGTCAACATTTATCTGAAAAGAAATAATCCAAACAAGTTAGTTATTAAAAGACATGTCCTCAAAGAACTAAGCAACATTGTATCAGGTCATCCCATAAGTTCTGTCCGAATTTTAACTTTTTATTAAAATGAACGAAATTTAAAGAGTATTTTATAATGTCTAATGGAGCTGAACATTATTTTCATGTTTAGATGCATTTAAACTGATCAAATTTTATTTCAGAGAACAATAAAATTAAATTTTGTTTGATTAAAACCCTGCTAACATGGAAGTACCCAAGAACCATTTGAGGCACATAATGCTTTATGAGTTCAAGAAAGGAAACTCAGCAGCCGAAGCGGCTAGAGACATTCACTCAGTTTATGGCGAGGAATGTGTGAATGAAAGAACTTGCAGAAGATGGTTTGCAAAATTCAGAGGTGGAGATTTCACCCTTGAAGATGAAGATCGAACCAGATGTCCAGTTGAGTTTGATGAAAAGCTACTTGAAGCAGCCCTTGAAGAAAATCCTGCTTTATCAGTTGAGGAATTGACAGTGGTTCTCAGTTCAAACCATATAACTGTTCATCATCATCTTCAACAACTTGGAAAAGTTCCTAAACTTGGAAAATGGGTGCCTCATGAATTGTCTGAAAACAACCTCAAATCCTGAGTTGACATCTGCTCTTCTCTCCATTCTCGCCAACTTGTTTCACTTTTTTTGGATAGACTTGTGACTGGCGACAAAAAATGGATCTTTTATCAAAATGTTAAGCGTCGGAGACAGTGGCTTGTTAAAGGGGAAGGACCCCAGCCACAGCCGAGAAGGAAATTTCATAGGCAAAAGGTTCTTCTTTCAATCTGGTGGGATCGCCAAGGAATAATCCACTTTGAATTCTTACCACCTAATGCAACAATTAATGCTCAAATATACTGTCAGCAATTAGAGCGTTTGAACCAAGCTTTGAGGAAAAAAAGACCTGCTCTAGTGAATTGAAAAGAGGTGATGTTTCATCAGGACCACACACAGCAAGAATCACATCACAGAAGATCGAAGAACTTGGTTGGGAGAAAATTCCTCATCCACCTTATTCTCCCGATCTTGCTCCTTCAGACTACCATTTGTTTCATAGCTTACAGAATCATTTGGAAGTAACAGCTTTTGTAACACAGGAAGAGGTTAAAACTGACATTTGTGAGTTCTTTGAATCAAAACCAAAAGAATTTTACAGTAATAGAATTAGTAAGCTTGTTAATAGATGGAAGGAAGTCATAGATAATCAGGGAAATACATTGTTGATTGAATTTGTAATTAAATGAAACATTTGGTCACTTGTTTTCTTTATTCAAAATTTGGACAGAACTTATGGGATGACCTGATATATACATGTTGACTATCACTAATCAGATCTAAATCATCTTGCCAGATTTTTCTCTGTTTTGTTTATATCTAAACTATAGATTAGCCAATGCTGTCTTAATCCCACAAGCTTCACACAGCCATGCTACTCTCTATTTTTTTTCACAAGTTCTACCTTATCTGTTTATATGGGCTCATGAGACTTGGGTTCAAATCTCACCATGGTCAATTTGTTAGGAAGATGACTTCTTGATGTTATCAATATTGGGAGGCTATCTCAGCACATGGCACCTTTGAAAAGTACCTGAAAATCAAACCACAGGTTAACCCAAGCCTTGTGAATGAAATTGGGTATACAGAACTATTTGGGAGCTGTCAAAGGATGTGCTAGCATGAAGTCACAAGTCATCATGACTGAGGGTTGGAGTGTACTGGCCTTTGTTCAGTCAATGTGCTCTCCCTCCTGGAAA